TTGCCAACAATCCCGTTCTTCACTCTCGTACGAAGCATATTGATATTCGGTATCACTTTATCAGAGATCATGTGATGAAAGGTGATGTTGAACTTCATTTTATCCCTACAGACTATCAACTTGCTGATTTGTTTACCAAGCCTCTTGATGAATCTCGGTTTAATTTTTTGATCAGTGAGTTGGGTATGTTGAATGTTGACAAATAATTGTTGAGTTTTCACCAATTCATTTGGGTTGTGTTTTTTCTAAAAATGTTGTATGTCATTTGCTCAAAAATTGTCTGCTATCTGTGTGAGTGCATGCTTCTCTCTTTCTCAAATATTGATTGTTTGAAAATGATGTGTTTTACACTAGTGTATTTTTTTAAAAATCAATTTCTATTTTTTTTCTCTCTAAAAGTCTCTATGTGAATTCTTAAAAAAAAAAAAAAAAAATCGTATTTAATATATATTAGTATTTTTATTAGTATTTTTTTATTTATTTGTATTTTTTAATTTAAATTTTTTTTTAAAGTTAGGTTTGTGTAATATTTTTTCTGTTAAAAAAAAAAACAAATTAATTAATTAATTAAGATAAAAAGTCACACCCTAAATGGCCTTCACGTGGTCCACCTTCCCCTTCCATATTCAAATCCTTCATTCTTTTTGATTCACACACACCGATTCCAATCGGCGCTCCCCCCTTTTAAACCCTCACACCTACATCTTAATCCACCCACTCCCTCACACCTCCATCTTAATACACCCATTCGGCCTAACCCTTTCTTCTACACACATCTTTCAAACCTATCCACCCTCACCCTCCCCAGGCCGACCATCGGTTTCCTCTACACACCCTACACACCGATCGGTTTCCATCGGTTTTCCCCTTCTTGCCGGTTACACACAAGCCGAACCCCCCCTCTCTCCTTCGGCCCAATCTCTTTACGGCCCACATCCCTTCGGCCCACCTTCCATTTTTCTAAACCCTAGAACCCCTCTCCCTCTTTATAAATCCCTCTCTTCGGCCTCCCCTCATATTCCTCACCCTTTACACTCACCACCCTCTACACACCGATTTCTCTCCCTCTCTTCCAATCGGCGCCTCCCCCCCTCCTCGGCTTCGGCTTCCTCCTTAACCCTTCACTTCCCTCATTCGGCCTCTCTCTCTCTCACCCATAAGCCGACCATCTCTATCACCAAACCGATCCTCCATTCTYTCCACCACACCGCTCCTCCTTCTCTTCTATCTCCAGCCGATTACACCTCAATAAGCCGACCCCCACGAGCCGATTACACCTCAAGAAACCGAATCCTTAAACCCCTTCCTCGGCCTCCCAAGCCATTTTCCCTCAAAYCGATTCCATTCTCTCCCCTCCAACACTCAACAAGCCGATCCTAACCCCCCTTATTCGGCTTATCTCCTTATCTCCCTCTCTAAACCCCCCCACCGATCCCTTAACTCCTAAACCCACAAGCCGATTCTCAACACACAAGCCACAAACCGTGGACGCTATCCGATTCCCCTTCGGCCTCCTAAACCCACAAGCCGATTCACATCGCACCCTCAAACCGATCCGCTTCTCAACCTCCTCAGCCGAATCCTATCGGCCCCTCCCTCACCCGATCCCTTACAAACTTCTTACCATTTTTTTTTCACTACTAAGCCGAAACCCCCAAGCCGATCCTCCCTCATCTCCTTCCTACACTACACACCGACCCCCTCCTAAACCCCCAAACCGATCCTACACTCCAAATCGGCGCCACCCCCCCTCTTCCTTTTGTCCCCTATTCCCCAACCATTTTTTTCTCAAACCCATTTCCTTCACCTCATACCCCTTACCCCCATCACATCTCATCTTCTTTTACCCACTATATATTTCCCTATTTCTTTTTTTTTTAAAACCCCCCAACTCTCATCTTCTCTAACGCATCTCCATCTCTCATCTCTTTCCAAAACCTCCACCTTTCTTCTCTAAAGAGTTTACTGTGTGTTTTTCAAGAATTCTATCAACCATGGCTTCTAAGGTTGGGA